CTCTTGAGGAAACTATCTGCCGCCTGGGTGGAGATGGCGTTATGCCCCGCGATCTACTCGGTGTGAACATGGATGTCGTCAGCTTTGAGGACGAGGAACTGGATGCACTGGAGGGTGAATTGGACCTCCTTGAGAACGGGCTGGAGGACGTTGCCCCGGACGACTCTCTTATCGCTGATTTGTTCTACTCTAAGCGTGTTAGTAATTAATGTTTCCTTTACTAGCCTAAATCATGGGCCACCCAGTACTTGACAATTTTCCAACGGTTTCTCATTTTCTCTTCCTGTTTTAGCAAATCAACACCTCATCGTCGGCTTTCTATGGCAACGTTTTAACTCCGGAGAAGTGTTTTGAGAGTCTTCTGGACGATGAGTCGACGACGAAAATGGAACCGCCTAGGAGCCAAGCAGCATTGTCGGAAAGCACCCTGCCTGTGCAACGGTCTGTGGGCAAAGCCGATCAAGCGGGTACAACTTTTGGTGACCGTTTTGATCATATGCACATTTTCCAAACTGTTATTTTGAAGATCGCATGATTATCATTTTGCGGTTTCATATATAGCCAACCTCTTTTGTCGCTCACAGAATCAGTTTAATTTGCCCCATGAAAGATCTGCTGCTCACTGATAAACGTTCACCTGACCCCTAACGGGCCTACGCAAGTATTTTCGTGGCCACTCCAAAAACATGAGCCGCCATCGGATTTATGGCTCCAGTTTCAGTTTGTTCAGCAATTTAGAGAATCCTTCTGACTTACTGTCAGCATTTCCGTTCAGTTCTTTCCAATGGAATTTCACCAGAATTTCTCACCAACACTGTTGCGGTATCCGCTAGATTTGGAGAACTTTCGGTTAAACTAAACTTTGACCTTTGTTTCGTGTGATGCGCTGCAGTTTTCAGACGTATTTGCGTTAGCCGTCGCCTTGCGTTTTCCATTGCCTTTCTTGTGTAAACTAGCAGTTCCAGAAACAGTAATTGACCACCTTTTTATTGATATATTAGAAACTTTTCTAAACCGAAAGATAACCTTTCTTTAAGTATAACATTTAGAGATGGCGTAATTTTCCATCAAATGCGTACAAGAAATAGTATTTTAGTGTTTCTTTTCGCTAAAATATTTGAATTTATAAAGGCGTGTCAAAATCAACAACAAAAAGCATAGTACTTAAGTAGCCGGTTTTTATAGTACAAACGTTTTGTAAGCGGCCAGAAGTAAGGTCCGTAAAGAGATGGTATCCTTTCGTGACTGAAATGACTTTAGAAAAGACTATGCAATAATCAGTTTTACAATCTTACTCAATGTCGATTATCGAGAGCGTATCAATCTTTCGCATATGCCGACATGTTACACGAATTCTGAGCCGTACTGTATATATATATATATATATATATATATATATA